TAACAATCCGGTTTGCATTTCTCTCAATCTTATATTAATGAATCTAAAGTCTGGTCTGGAGTCGGGATTTTCGTGCCAACACTCTTCAATCTAGTGTTTTATATATTAAACAATTAATATATGGTTTGAATGAGTGAATTGAACACATTTTCATACACAGCGAACAATATATTGGGCACATTTGACACCACGGAGTGATGGCCTGTATATTCTTCCAAAAAGGTTAGGATTTATAATTTGCTCCAAAATATCTTTAATGTCTTCGTGTGAGGAATTGTAATCACCGGTCGGACCTTTTCGACCAATTATTTCATATAAAATAATCGCAAATCTATTTCGAGGTTAAGAATCTAATATTAATAACAATTTGAAAGTAATTGTCGCATATATTTGGGACTAACGAATAGACATCTCCTTTCTGTGTGCCTCTCATCGGAGGATTAATGGTTCGCAACAATTCTGGTGCTCTCCATAATAGATCTGTATATCATTCAAATAACATATTGTCCTCAGTATCACAACAATATACAATGTAATAATACTATTAAATTGAGAAAAGCAATAAAAATGAAGATTTGAAACATTCCCAACTATTGCCCCAATTATTAGTAGTGAATATAAGTTAGAATAAAAATGCTAACAAAGATGTTAATGTAAAACCAAAATAAGACATTCCACTCTCTATATATTTTCTAACAATGTATTACTGCAACCATACTTAGTCATCGGCCTATTTAGTCATCGGCTCTGTATTAACTTTACTGTACGTAATGTATGGCAGAGGCTGCACCCGATGACTAAATGAGCCGATGACTAAATATTTTAAGTGTTATTAATATATCGTTGAATCTTATGAATACACAACCTCTTTGTCGTTTATGTTCATCAAAATGCGTGAAGTCTTGATTTGATCTAAACTCGTGTAAACCATAGTCCGTAATCTGAAGGACCCAACGACTGTCCACCAAACAATTGGATGATTTCAGTTTCCCGTGTGATATAATATCCGAATCGTGTAAATAAATCATTGCCTTTTAATTTTACAAATTTATAATTATTTAGATATTTAGTATAAATCAATATTGAATATAAGCTTTAAATGCCTTAATTAAATCGGCGACTAATGAGGCGATAAACATATTATCCAAATCCAAGTCTTCATTCCTTAACACGTCCTGATTTTGAAAAATAATTATTTTTAAATTTAACTTTTTGCAAATTTAATTGAAAACAAAAAAGCACTTAAAATCTCACAAATGAACGGGAATTGTCACAAAAATGCGGGAGTTTTATGTGTTTTTGGATAGACTCGGGTTGTGTTGGGAAAAGTGGCGACAAATGAATTATAAGTCTTAATGAATTAAAACAAAATATAGGACACAATTAACATTATGTAATTGACAACACTATGGTATCTGTGAACGTGGTATACCTCAAGACTTCCTCGGGCGCAGTATAAGAATATAAGCGATATATTTGTCGACTCAATACTGGCGCCAATAAACGAGTTTATATTCTCGTGTCTCATCTCTCTTACCTATCAATCAATTAATGTGTGATTTCATTGAAATGTAAATCAAAATTAATAAATAAGCAAATAAACAATTTAATATATTCTATGGAAAGACCTGGATCAGCTCTTTTCGGACATTTCGTGTCAAGTCGATTGACTTTTTAAATATCCGTTTGATTGCGACTACATTTCCCTTATAGACTCCGATCCCAAACGCGCTTTGAGTGCAAACTTCGTTACCATTTAAGCAAAAAGCATCCGATCGTCCGGAACTGCTCCCACCAAATAGACTCAATCTTCTCATATCTATACCCTGAAACTTTTGTATAGTTTGACTATGTAATTATTATTATAATATTACTACATAAGCTATCTATTATATTAATTCATTTATGACATAAATGAATATATAATATTCTAAATACTATCATAATATAAAAATAAGATTTTTCACTTTGAATTAATTTTCATTAAAACTTAATTACTAGTTATTCATATATAAAAAATTAATTAAATAATTACTGTACTACACATGAGTTACTACTCCATAATATTTAACATTAGAATTAGTTAAATTAATTCATAGCTGTATTTAATAAAAATGCAAATCAAACAAAACATACATTAATAGTGTTGCGAATATTCTGGAGAGTGTACTCGGAATTAGTGTTGAGTACAATCATGTCTTTCATGTCTATCTTCCACAATAAACGCGTCAATTTATGTTCATATCTATAGTGTCTGT